AGGTTTCATTTTTCATTGCCTGGGAGCATGGACCAAGGACTCTGACTGGTTGTTATGATCATCAGGACTTGGTTTTTGCGTTTGTTTAATTTTTTTCATAAAATGGCTCATTCCGATCATCATTTACGCCTTAACATTATGACCATTCACCTAATATTGGGTAGGTCCCTGTTTGCCACCATAACAGCCCCGACCCATGGACGCGTGTACTCCAGTAGGCAAAGTATGACACTGCCTCCACCGGCTTGCCTTCTTCCCATATTGCATCCTGTTGTCATCTCTTTCTCCGGTAAACAACACACACACCTGGCCATCCACATGATAGAAAAGAAAAATGATTCATCAGACCAGGCCAGCTTCTTCCATTGCTCTGTGGTCTAGTTCTGATGCTCACTTGCCCACTGTTGGTGCTTTTGGCTGTGGACACGGGTCAGCATGGGCACCCTGTCCGGTCTGCAGCTAGGCACCCCCGTATGCAACAAACTGTAATGCATTGTGTATTCTGATACCTTTCTATAGGAACCATCATTAACATTTTCAGCAATCTGAGCTACAGCAGATCTTCTATTGAATCGGGCCAACCTTTGCTCCCCACATGCATCAATGAGACTTGACCACTCATAACCACATTGTCGGTTCTCTCTCCTTGGACCACTTTTGGTTGGCCCTGACCACTGCAGACCAGGAACATCCCACAAGAGCTGCAGTTTTGGAGTTGCTCGGACCTAGTCATCTAGCCGTTACAATTTGGCCCTTGTCAGAGTCGCTCATATCCTTACGACTGCCCATTTTTTTCTGCTTTCAATAAATCACCTTCAGGGACAACATGTTCACTTGCTGCCTAATATATCACATGGACTGTCAGATGTCACTGTAACGAGATAATCAATGTTATTCAGCTTTGCTGTCAGTAGTCAGAATGGTTAATCAGTTTATATGTCAATGCACGGGCTACAGGGTAGGCTAATGAGGCACTAGCCATTGTGATATGGCATGTAGGTGTAGACAGGGGTGGACTGACCATTTGGAAACTCGGGCACTGCCCGAGGGCCCGGGGTCAGTAAGGGGCCCCATGAGATGCCCCTGATACCTTTTTCATAGGCTTTTTTGAGTTTGGGCAAGGACACAGGGGCCCCATGATCCCCTATTGTCGGGGGGCGCCCCATGAGTTGTCAGTCTGCCCCTGGGTGTAGACATGCCTATTCACCATAACTAGAAAGTGGAGATTATCAAGGGGCTTTGCTGCTCCACGTCACAGTGTAAAGAGGATTTTGTGTCACCCAAGGTTCTCACCCATGCCAGTTGAAGGACTCCAGGATGCATGTTTCATACTGAAGAAACTTACTTTACGTTTCAATTTTCTCCAGGGTTGACAAGAACTGGTTCTGGTCCTTCTAGAGTATTGGGTGAAATGAAGCTTCCAGCCCTAGGCCCACATGTTTATCACTAATGGACATGTGAGCATCAGAACTGCACCATGAAGCAATGGAGGAAGGTGGCCTGGTCTGATAAATCACATTTTTTTTAACTCATGTGGATGGCCAGGTGTGTGTGCGTCGCTTACCTAGGGAATAGATGGCACCGGGATGCAGTATAGGAAGAAGGCAACCTGGGAGATACCACAGCATACCTTCAGTGTTCTAGTGGAGTTCATGCTTCGATGGGTCAGAGCTGTTTTGGCAGCAAAAAGGGGACCTACTCAATATTCTGTGAGTGGTCAAAAATTATGGCTGCTCTGTGTAGAAAAGGGATGGGGTATGCTTATGGTTATTCAAATAGTGTCTATGAGAAAGTCGCTGTTTTCATAGCTGCTTCAGTATGGCTCTGGGTGGAACTGTGCTCGGCCTTTTGTTTACATCCAGCAGTGCAAGTCCCATAGTCCTGGCCGTGCCTGCTCATTAAACGATTAGTTCACCTTTACAAAAAACTTGCCTATGCAGACAAGGGGTATTTGGAGATAAAAACAAACTGGGCAGCTCTGACTATAGTTGAGTAATGCTCTTGCTATAAGTGTAGGCCATTTACATACCTCCTGACTTGGAATACTCCCAGGAGGTTGCTAAGTGAGGCCTAGTCATTACTATTCACCTCCACCATCACAGCAGTGAGCTTTTTCTCAGATTCAAACCCCCTCAAATGCTATTTCTTTCCATGAATGTAGTAGTTCTGAGCTCTGGGTTTGAGAGTTCAATCCTAAGACTCCTTGCACACGGGGCATTCTAATAACTCTGGTAATGATAGCTGTGTAAAGTCACGTTAAAAACGGGAGTTTTTAAGTGTTTTTTAGCATTTTTGCATTAGCATTTAGCAGCGGTTTACCACATTTTTTTCCCGTTTGTATTTTTTAGTGTTTTTTTTTTATCATTTCTTTTTTTTTCTCCAAAAAGTCCAAAATGCTGCTTTGTTGGGTTTTACCTCGTTTTGCCACATTTTTCAGTGTTAGGCTACGTTCACACTAGCCTTGTGTGCAGGCGGCAGTGAGGCGTTTGGGAAGCGTTTTTTTACCGCTTCCCAAACGCCTCTGCCAATTCTGCACATTACAGCACATGGTGCTGTTCTAATGGGAGCGTTTGCGTTGCGTCGCGTTGCGTCGCGGCAAAACGGACGCCTCTGGTTGAGTCAGGAGGCTTTGAAGCCTCCTATTCTCGTCTATGGTGCCGCTCCGCAAACGCCTGGCCAGCGTTTGCGGTGCGGTTGCGACGCGTTTGCGGGGCGTTTGCGGAGCGGTAACACCACTCAAACGGTATTATAGGCGTTTGTGGGGCGTTATTAATGCTCGGCAAACGCCTAGCAACCGCCACTAAACCGCGCATGCGGCATTTGCCGAGTGTTTGCCGAGCGTTAATAACGCCCCACAAACACCGGACCAACGCTTGCCAAACGCTATAGGGGGTTTGGCAAGCGTTGGTAAAACAGCCAAGTGTGAACGAGCCCTTAGAGCGGTTTTACAGCTAAAAAAACTCCTCTAGAAACCCACTAGTCCTGGTTTTTTTTTCCAGCCAAAAAACGCTGATTAAAGCCTATGTGTGCATGGACACACAGGATAACATGCTGGGGAGTTTACTGGCTGTAGAAAAAAATGCCAAAAGCCAAAAACAACCGCTGTAAAAACGTCCAGTGTGCATGAGGACTGATGGTGGAGGTGGCAGGAATGACTAGGCCTCACATATCAACATCTTGGTAGTACTCCAGTCAGGCATCATTAGGTATGTAAATGGCCTACACCTGTAGCAAGGGCATCATTCAAATTTAGTCAAAGCTGCACAGTTTCTTTTTATCTACAGACACCCCTTATCTGCATTTTGTGGTAAAGGTGAACTATGGTTTTGATTTACTAAAGGCAAATAGACTGTGCACTTTGCAAAGTGTAGATGAGAAGAAAGGAAGTCCGCGTGGATGCCCTCCAAACAATCGACTTTATTGAACCAGGATAAAACTAACACAGATAGTGGAAATACAGGAGGGGACACTGGCAGGTAAACGCGTTTCACGCTAAAGACAGCGCTTGGAGCAGTTGCTCCAGAGTTCAGTAAATGAGCGAGAACTCTGCTGACTCCCATCATCCAGTGCAAGCAAAAATTCTGTATTTTTTTTTTATTTTCCTAGTACGTGATTGTATATTCTGTGCAAAGTGAAGCTTTCCCAATTTCCTAAGCTCTGGAGCAGGGGCGGACTGACCATTTGGAAACTCGGGCACTGCCCTAGGGCCCTGGGGTCAGTAAGGGACCCCATGAGATGCCCCTGGTACCTTTTTCATAGGCTTTTTTTGAGTTTGGGCAAGGACACAGGGGCCCCATGATACCCTATTGCCTGGGGGCCCCATGAGTTGTCAGTCCACCCCTGCTCTGGAGCAACTGCACTTGAAGAATGCAACTGCACTTTACAAAGCGCACAGTCTATTTGCCTTTAGTAAATCAACCCCTATGCATTTAGAGCATTTTATAGGCCTGCAGACAATCAGAGACCATATTATAGAAGTCTGTGGGACTTTAATGTACAGGTGCGGCGAGGACAGTGAAAACACTGGATGTAAACAATAGTGGAAATGTGGACTTTCGATCAAGGTAGGAAGGGGGCAAAAAAAAAAAGAACTTTGTTTTAAAGTGGACTTATTCTTCAGCCTGGGTTCACACTGATGCAGTGCGGAATTTGTAGCGGCTTCTGTGCGAATTCCGCACCGCATCACAATTGCACCCCATTCGTGCAAACCGCTGCGGGTGTGTATGTTAACACCCCAAAATCGGTTTGCAAAACGCGGTGATAAGTGTAGAATCGTATCACATGGGTGTGAATACCCATGCGATCTGATTCTAGTGCGGACCAAAAAAGGGTCCTGCACATTTTTGGTGCGCATGCGGTGTGATTTGAGCCATAGAAAATGTATGGTTCAAATTGCATTGCACAGAATTCACATGTGATTTGCACAGGAATGTGGTGCGGTTCCTGTGCGAATCACATGCAATATTCTGCACTGCATCAGTGTGAAGGGAGGCGCAATGCATACACTTAGGGGTTATTTACTAAAACTGCACGCTGCAAAAGCTGGTGCAGCTGTGCCTAGAAACCAATCAGCTTCCAGTTTTATTGTCAACGCCAACCCTAGGTTCACACCTAAGCGTTTTCTGCACCATTTTGCAGAAACGCAGTACAGTCCATTTAACATGATTTCCTCTGGGACAGGTTCATATCTCCGCATTTTCACCCTGTGCACTTTTTGGAAAGGGTCTGGGGCTTCTTTGAATGCAAAACGTTGCATTTTTGGTTCTATAGGCTTCAATGGGAACGTTGCAGAAATATTGTATTGCGTTTATGCTGCGTTTTTGCCGTGTTTTTGATGCATTTTACGTTTAAAATCTGCCTGGCAACAGGAAAAAAGAAAAAAAAAACCCCACAAAATGCATCAAAAACACAAGTGCAAAAATGCTACAATGCAATGCAGAAACGCATCAAACACAACACAACCTGCATAGGTGTGAACCTAGACTCAATTGAACAAGCTGAAGTTAGAAGCTGATTGGCTACCATGCACAGCTGCACCAGATTCTGAGTGCTCCAGTTTTAGTAAATCTCCCCCAAGGTGTAAAAAAAGGAAAACAATATGACTCCTTTAAAAAAAAAAAAAAAAAAGCTAAATACTGTGCATGACATTCTATGCATTCTGTGTAGGCTCCGAATTCGCACCGATCGATCGATGTTCCTATTTAAATGTAATGGTCGTTAATTGGTGTAAAGAAGGACCTCGCCGACAGTGGACTGTGAATACGGTGAAATCCTTGAAGCGCTTTTCCCGGCATCCGGGAGCACACAGGCTCAATTAGCAAGACAATGGAACAAGGAGAAAGTGGCGTTTTCAAAGGTGACTGTTGCTAGGCAACAGAGAGAGACCTTAGAGCGCACCCATCTCCGCCAGGGGGGCTTAACACTTCATCCTTCCTCCTCTTCAGAATTTTCCTTGTATACGCGCGTCTCTCTGATATCACAAAGGTAACGTGCGTTCAATAGATGTCTGAGTAGGAGGAGAATTAAATGAAATCTGAGCAAATATTTTGGGTGACTCATTTGAAGCAGACAAAAGGGGAAGAAATTCTTTAATTGAACCTGTCATCTCCTATAAATAAAGCCATTATTGGGTGAATGAAGACAAAGCTGTCATGGGGGGAAACGCATGGGCTGCCATTGCCTGCTTTCTTCTGAAAATGCTAGCTGTCTGGCTGTCATGCTGATCCTCTGGGTTCAATGGATCACCGACAGCAGGGCAGTACAAAAGAATGGTGTTTGAAGGTATCTGTGCATTGTAAAACATGATATTTTTAGGGCCAGACAACAGAAACGCAGTCTGGATGCGTTGCGGATGCTTTCCTGTCAGGGGCGGACTGACCTTTCAAGCACTCGAGCACTGCCTGAGGGCCCGGGGTCAGTAGGGGGCCCCATGAGATGCCCCTGGTACCTTTTTCATAGGCTTTTTTGAGTTTGGGTAAGGACACAGGGGCCCCATGATCCCCTATTGCCCGGGGGGCCCCATGAGTTGTCAGTCCGCCCGTTTCCTGCACACATCTTGATGCATTTTTGCTGCGTTCTGGTGCATTTTTGATGCATTTTAAATTTTTTCCCTTTTTTTTCCTGTTTTGTATTTTTTGTGCTGTAGTGCGTTTTTGATGTGTCCTGCCACATTTCAGTACAGTTCTGTGCAGAAAAAAATGCAGCATGGTCTACTTTTTTTTCTGCACTGGAGTGCACTGTAACTGACTGCACTTGTGTGAGCTATGCCATTGGAACCCACTTTATCTACTGTCCATATATTTTTGATGCAGAAAAAGAAAAAAAACCGCACCATCTAGTGTGTACTGGTCCTTTAAAGCACATATTGATTGCGTTTTCCTCGCTGGTCACTTGGGAAAAATGGACACATAACTCAAAAAAAAAACAAAACACGCATTGCAATTTTGGTGCACTACTATTGACTATAATGGAAGGTGCGATTTTGGTGCATTTTTCACAAGACGCACTGAAGAAGTTACAAGCAGGATTTTGCAGAAACCTTGCTCACTGTATAAAAATGCAGTGCACAAATGTGTTAGACAGAGGCAACCACCCCGATCTATAACTGGCAGGGCGATGCACAGCCAGGGGCGGACTGACAACTCATGGGGCCCCTGTGTCCTCACCCACACTCAAACCACACCCAAAAAAGCCTATGAAGGGTACTAAGTGCATCTCATGGGGCCCCCTACTGAACCTGGGCCCTCGGGCAATGCCCGAGCGGCCAAATGGTCAGTCCGCCCCTGTGCACAGCATAAACAAACAAAAGATTTCCCAGCATACTTAACGACCAGTCTGCAAAACAACCGAATTAGTCTTGTCTAACAGTTTAAAAACAGTGTTTTGTTTGCACATGTTTGCAAATATATGCATAAGCCGCAGTGCCCTTGCTACCTCTCTTACGCATATATTTGCAAATGTGTGTAAACAAAACCCTCTGTTTTTAAAACAAACTGATAGATGTGGCTAATTCGGTTGTTTTGCAGACTGGTCGGTAAGTGTGCAGGGAAATCTTTTCTTTGTTTGTTTAGGCTGTGCATCGCCCTTTCATGTGCGCCTTGTTGCATAGACCAGTTATAGATTTGGGTGGTGGCCAATTTCTTGTACAGTTGGTTGAATTGGGTGCAGGGACGCAAGGACGCATGGGATGCCTTTGCTGTCATTGTTCTCTAGCTGGGCATCACGTGTGTCCCTGTTCATTAACCTCCCTTATTATTTCAGATTTTTGGTGCTGAAAGTGGTACCATTATTTAGCATGGAAATTTGGCGTTTTATATTGTAGGCTGTAATTCTTAGGAATAACTCACTGAAATCTGTCCGAACAAGAGTCTAGTAAACATCCCGGGTAGGATAAAATTTGAAACACGAAATCATAAATTATAATTTAATAAATAATCATAAAAAATAATATAATAAATTTAATTCAATAATATAATCAAACCAAAAACACTGAAATTTGAAATATAGCGCCAAGTTCGCACATGACTGAGCAAAGTCGCAAAATCGTTTTCAGTGTCTGATGAGGAATTTCCCCCACGAATCATTATCACTCAATTCTGCAAGTGGTTCTGATTTACTATCGCTGTTCTCTAGCTGGTCTAAAACTGCTTTTGACCTTAAGGGACGCTTTTTGGACGCCATGGACGTTTCTCAGTTTCCAGGCAGAAAGAACAGTAATAATGCAGGCAGGGCGCAGGACAAAGCACTCGGGACAAAATGTATGTGAAATGGTTTCATACAGTAATGTTTTACTATGTGATTTTAGTGATTTTTGTGAATGTCATTTTCAAATTGCCCACCGTTCCGTACCCCGTACGTCCCGATGCTCGCAGAGGACAGAACCCAGATGACAGATGCCGGCATCTGCCAGATTACATTGCCGGGGACACTGCAGGGGGGACATCGCGGGAGCTCAGGACAAGGTAAGTGACCGAGGGATCGCAGAGCAGTGCCGCATGGTAAGCCCGAGTGTAGCTTGGGGTTACCATTTGTGGTTCTGAAACTTTACCCCGAGCTACACTCGGGAATACCGCCAGGGAGGTTAAGGAGGAGTGGGCAACCTCCAGGTACACCTGCCCCTAATCTATCCATTCTTATATGTGCTCCTACTCTGAAGAATCTGGAAATTTAGAGTAAGGGCTCTTTCAACGTATGTCCGTTTGTCATCTGTCCATTTACGGATGAAAAACAGACATTCATGTATTTCTGCGGACTAGCGGATGTAAATGGATACTCATCCGTTTACATTCGTTAATGTCCTCATCCGTTAACATCTGTTTTTTTCAACGAAAGAAACCCCTATTTTTCTTCTGTAAAAAAAAAAACGGAACTGACAAAATGTAAACGGATGTAAGCGGACATACGGTCCATTTTTTCATCTGTTTTTGCATTGGTAAAGGATGTAAAAAACTGATGTAAAAACGGATGAGAAACTGACGAGAAATTGATGAGAAACTGAAAAGAAACATCAGGCTACCTATGATCTGTCATATTTAGGTCTGGAAAAATGGAAAAGGATGCATTGATTTTTTTTTTTTTCAGGACCTGTACAAACTCACAGGTAGGAGGATGTGAAAAAACACATAAAAAACACACCCTTGGTTGCATTTTTGAAGTATTTTTTGAGTCACATGTCCTTTTTTCACAGGTGCAAATCTCACCAGAAATGTGTCAATGTGTTTTTGCAACAGAGCAGTGTGAGAGTAGCAAATCTCACATGCATACACATACTAAAGCCGACTTAGGCTAGGTTCTCATTGCTGCAATTCAGTTTTGATCCAATTTTTAGTACAAATATGTAGTGCAAGTTGGATGTGGTTTGCATGTTCTATGGGGCCAAAATCACATTGTAATTACACCAAAGTAGTACAGCACACTTTTCAAAAGTCGCGCTGTGTGGAGTTGCATTGATGTGAGTGAGCACCATTTCTGTGCAACTCAAGTTGCATCTGATATTACACTAGTGTGAATGAAGCCTTAGATAGGAGTCAATTAATTTTCCAGCCAGGGGCGCTGCCCGAGGGCCCGGGGTCAGTAGGGGGCCCCATGAAATGCTGCTGGTACCTATTATAGGCTTTTGTGGGTGTGCTTTGAATGTGGGCAAGGGCACAGGGGCTCCATGATCCCCTATTGCCCGGGGGCCCCATGAGTTGTCAGTCTGCCCCTGTTTCCAGCAGGTCTCTGGAGTGTGGGAGGAAACCCACGTAAGTACAGGGAGAACATGCAAACTCCTTGCAAAGAGTGTCCTTACTGCAATTGAAACCAAGAGCCCCAGCTCTGCAAGGAACACTGCAGATCCCCACCAGTGAGGGCGCAGCGATGGAGTCAGGCCACACTGGTTTGGCCAGCAAAGGTGCAATGCTGTTTGAGCAGGCAAACGTTCACGTGATCCGAGTACTGGAGACTTGCTGCCTTTGATGGGATTTCTAGTGTGACATGGGCCCAAGTACCCCATGAGGAATGGTCAATGGCCTTGTTGCTTCCTTACAAACTGATTTCTTTTTTTTTTGCTTACCTGCAGTTGTGCCGTATTTTTCGGGAGTGACCCAGTATTCTCCTTGCTTGGATTTACACAACATCTTAGAACAAGGGTGGCAGGATCCTTCCTTTGTGTCAATTTACTCTGTTATCAGAATATTTATGATCCTTGTTAGGTACAGCTGCTTAGCAGGAAGGCTTCTCCATTTATTGTAGTGAAGCAATATATTGGAGTGCTATCAATCAACTCTGTTGTTTCTGTAAGTACCTGTGTTAATCTTCAGATCAATTCTGTTCCTGTGGAGATCCTACAATTTCAGACCTGGGCTGTACACAGAGTATTGACTTCTGCCCATTTCAGAACTAAGCCCCCTTCCAATCAACCAATAAATGCCTCAGTGACAATGTCAGGGGGCAGGATTTAGTGCATGGAGGGGCAGGAGGTTAAAGCGGAACTAAACTGTATCTGATCACCACAAACTGAAAATGTTATTTAATCCATTTTTAATGTTTAAATCAAACTCCCCCATCCTTCCATGTCTCCATGATTTATTTTGTTTAAG